ATTTCTAAGCCATTTTTCTCCATTTAAAAGACTGTACAACACAATCTCTTTTTTTCATTTAATTCTGTGCAAGATTAGCAAAGTTTAATGAATTCTTGCAGTAATAACAAATCCTAACATTTGATTCCTGATCTTTCTTAAAAAAACAAAAACAAAAAAGACCAACAAATGCTACATTTTAAAATTTATGATTAACCTGTAACCTGATAACTAAAATATGAGTTGTAATCCTAGTGATAAGTTTGTTACATCCTTTATCATATATGAAATAAATGAAAGAAAACTCTCATTGCTAATGTGGTTAGTTTCATAAAGCCTCTAATATTTACATCGTAAAATTACAAATTAAAAGCACATTCTGATTCTAAATTACAATGTAAAGATAATTCTGTATAAAAATATTTTCCTGTGAAATACAGATCTGATTAGTTTTCTTAGTAAATCAGCTTTAAGCCACAGATAATGCAATTAATTTATTCTAAATATGAATGAGAAATTTAAAATTTGACACAAATTCTTTGTTTTCAAATAGATTTATAACACTTAAATAACCATGTATCTGAAACAAAAAAAAAAGGTTTCTTTGAAGAATTTTCAGTATAGGACAAGAAGTATATTCCAAATACAGTTTGAGTCACTTTGTAAAATTATTTTTAGTACAGAAAGAAATATCCCAGTAAATTAGAAGCAACCACAAGAAAAAGAAATTTATTTTGTAATAGTGATTGTAGATTCTTATTTTCAAGTCATCTTAATACTGATTCCAAAATAAAGAAAATATTTAAATAAAACTATGGAAAACTGAGCAACAAAACAGTAAAGAATGGAAAAAAAGCAAAAAAAAAACCCACCACCAAACAAAGGTAGACAAGATGGCGTGTTGGAACAAAAAAAAAAAAAAAAGTTTGGGATCCATTTTTCAAAAGAAGAAACTTTATCAAGTTAAAAAAAAATTAAGACCTGTGTATTCCCGGATGCAGTTGAATTCAGCGAATTTTTAGCCTGCAAAGATTTAAGCTGAGAAATTAAACTAAAAAGAAAAAGAAAATAGTGTTCAGATAAGTTAATAACGTCAAAAGACTCAAGTTCCACTTTGAAAAGGGTAAAAACAAGAGGGAGAAAATAAATATCTGAAATAAAACAATGGAAAATAAGGCAGGAAAAGACATTTGGATCATTTGGGGATAGAAAGAACAAAGAAATAATTCTATGATAAAAATGTGTGCATATGTTTTATTTTATATATATATATATATATATATATATATATATATATATATATATATATACACACACACACACACAAGATATGAATATTGTTATATGAGCTCAATCCAACTAATATCTTTACTGGATCTTTATTTTCATGGTGTAACTTTTCTCTAAATAAAATTCAAGAGAATTTTATTTCAATATTAAGCAAAATTATGTATCAGATCTAAATGTCCTGTAAATCATTGTGTAAACTTGTGTAACTGAATGTAAACAATGTGACTAAGTCAACAATACAGATCTTAATTTAATAGCTTAACACTTATACTTTTAGTAGCCAAAAAAATCAATGACATTTCTTTCATCATGATTTTTGTCATCTCTTGATAGCTTGTTTCAATCTTCAACTAAAATAAATACTTTATCCCAATTTGTATGCCAGATGAGCAGTTAATTGCTCAAAATATTTTAAAAGGTATAACAGTTGAAATATAAAAATAAAACCAATAAAGATAAGGATATTAGTCTGGATAAACTAATAATAGGGAATAAGAGGACGCATATTTGCCAAGTTTCCTTCATTTAATTTATATATATATATATATATATATATATATATATATATATATATAAGAATTAAGGTGGCATCTACTTTTCACTCATTTATGACAGTATTTAAATAATGCATAAAAATTAAGAACATACACATAAATGTAAGATACCTGTATAATTAATAACATATAAATATCAGATACCTATATCATTCATAAAAATTAATGACAGGTAAATATCAAATTCTAATGAGAATGTCAAATACTCTAAGAACTTCAAGAGATTTAACCTATATTTAACTCACATCTCTGCTTTTCAAATACTTGATACTTATTATTAATGTAATAACCAATTAACTCATTATTTAATTATCAAGAAAATATGCATCAACTGTTTAGATTTGAAATATTATTTTAGCAGGATTAAACTCAATATAAATACAAACACATCATCCATAAGTTTCCAGACTGACGTTACTTACCTGAAACTTAGTTTCAAAGGCACTAATTTTATATAAATGTAAATAAGACTTATATAATAGCACCTTAACAGCCATAGAAAATATTTTCAAATCTAATTCTAACCTGTTCAGTAATTCATTTATTTTTAATTAAAAACAATAAATATATTTTAATAAACAAAAAAATCACTTTTTTAAATATGCTTTGATGTCCTATATTTAATTTAAAAAAATATAGCATTTTTATTTCTAAATTTAAAATTCATTTTTCTCTTTATATATTTCAAATTTTACTTCTGATTATTCATCAGAACAACACAACAGAGCCTATAAAAAGAGACAAAACACTTCTATTCAAACAAGTTTAACATTGTTGTCACTTAACAATGCAATGAGTTTTCAGCTTTTAAATTCTACTGTTTGGATTTGCTGTCAAAAATAAGCCCAGTCTATTATAAAATAATCTATGGTATAATCTGAATTCAGCAGGTTTCTATTTTTCTGAAACCTGTCAACAACTGATTACTCATTGACAAGTCTAATACATCATAATGACATTTTCAATAACAAAATTATTATTTATTTGGACATTGCAGTGACATTTAAGCTGAATTATGTTTCATAATCCTTGTACAAGAGTGAGTCAAAAAGTAATGAAATTTGTTTTATTATATATGAAATAAGGAAGACAGCAAAATATTGTACCTCAAGATATAGCTATACACCACAGGTTCACATCCTTACTTCTCAACTTAGTCTTCACCTCTTTCAATGGTAGTGTTCTATATACAAATAAAGTCATGTATCACCACATGACATAACACTCTCAAACTTCATATCTTTGGACTAATAAGACAGACACTGAAGAGCAAACATTATGTTGGTGATAAACAAGTGAAATATGCTGTAAGGAATTGGCTACATCAGCAGCCAGCTGAGTTTTATGAAGCTGGGATACATGTCCTCATTCATAAGTGGAACACTGCCATTGAAAGAGGCGGTGACTATGTTGAGGAAGCCGGGATGTGAACCTGTGATGTATAGCTATATCTTGATGTATGATATGATTGTTCTTTAATTCTTATATAATAAAACAAATTACATTACTTTTTGACTCCCTCTCATAAAAGCAAGCACTGCTTTCAGCCAAAATTCTTTTGAATAAAATTTGAAAATCTGTCAATTAATATCTTTAACTGTTCCCTGTCCTACAAAAAAAAATTCTAAATGTTTATTATACATGTAATAGCTTGATTTGCAGCATGGTGCAATGGATAATGGCTCAGCATGAGAAATCAAACAGCCAAGTTCAAATTCTGTAGGTTTTGTTACATTCACCTATACACAAATTCCCTTGGAAAAGGTATGAATAAATTTTTCTTCTCACCCTGACAGCTATGGATTGGATAGCAGGACAGACAGAGTGCTTTAGCTTTGGTCATCAACCAGTCTACTGCAGAAAGAAAAGGTAGCCGACTACAGGAAAATCTTCTGCCTAGTCAGTCACAAATTGAGAAAGACATGATCATCCAAGCATATATCACATATATCACTTAACTGACTGAATAGCTCTATTATATCTGTCAGTAGCACTTGTATTAATTTCTGACCATTGATAATATGCATTTGCTTTAGTTGCAATGTATTTCTGTACTGAATATTTATAACTTAGAATAGCTTCCGTTTGAATTTCTGTACCTTCCAATTTTCTTTGTCTGTCCATCGGGGTAACCTTCAGGTAATTTGAAACTGAGCCTTTTTATTGAATCTATGGGGATAGTTCTCATTTCACTATGTCTAGAGATGTCTTGATCTTTTTCTTTCTGAACAGTACTACAAAAAGAACAAGATATCCATTTCACATGAGAAAAATGATGTATTTGTCTTTGATAGGGTCAGAAAACAACTGAGGACAGACAAAACAAAATCACTGGATTCAAATATAATCCTATGAACAGATAAAAATATTAATATGAATTTGTATAATGCCAGGTGTGAATAGCTTCCACAATTGATTGGGCCATTTGATTTTCAATATTAGTCTAAGAAGATCAAATTCTGATGGGACATCACAGTTTATGTATAAAACTAGTTCCATAAAAAAATAGGTATATATGATCAATCCATCTATTTTTTTGCTTATATCAGACTTTAAAAATGCTATGTCGAGTATTTTTTATATTAATACAGTTTTATGATACATTGAAACTTATGAGTGTCATATAGGATAGAACATCATTTCATTTCATATTGAAAAGTACAGTGATAAACATTTTTTTTTTTTGTTAAATAATTGTTTTAAATAAGTAATTGGATTCCAGCTTAATTTGCCCCAAAAATATTTCTAAGAAAGAATGGTTGATTATTAAGAGTATTATAACTAAGTATTATAACTAATTTTTATAACTAATAAGTTTATTATTATTAGTAGTAGTTGACATGTAAAAAATTTTGCTAAGCCCTTACTGTTATTAGGTTTTCATATAAATAAACTGTCAATGCATTATAGACACAAAACATTTGGTATATTATATACTAAGATTATTATGATAATAATGTTTATGTCTGAAAAGGTGCAAAAGAAAACTAAAAAGCCTGGTCATCTGGATAATTTAAGACCAATATTTTTTTTGTTTTGTTTTTGTTAGTAGTTTAAAGGGAAATCAGTCAGGAATATTCTTATGAAATAATGGATGTGCTTTTTAATCGGAGTTGAGAGTGGAACTTGAACCTTGACAGCTAAGCATGAAGCAGAACACGGAAAACAAGGAAGTGCCTTAACTAGGTCCTCAAGGTCTCCCAAGATGGAATGTAGAAGATTATGCTCCAGCCTGTGTAGCTCCACAGCCCACAAGGCAAATGAGGGCAGGAACACTTGGCGTGCTGATGTACACACTTTCTCTGCAGAGTCATTCAATGAGGTCTTAAGCAATTCATAACCCTGGAAAAGAAAAAGAAAAAAAATGTGTGCATTAATATAAAACATCCAAAGCCAAAAGTCATAGTTTTTATAGAACTTGAAAAAATAACTACAGTTACACATACAAACTTATGGTCATTCAAGTATTACTTCCAAGAAAGGCTTCATGAAATAATGACCTTGAGTCAAGCATGATTTCATTGCTGATTAATTGTATTAGTTGTACTCTAGCAATACCACATGATATCATCTGAATATTTGTTTTCCAGCATAGCATAAAAATACTAGATTCATGCTGATGAAAAATTCTGTCTGATTTTGTAATTGTTTTTATCAAAGTCCTTTGACAAGGTAATGGCATCAGGAACTGCTACATAAACTCTCTAGCTATGGAATCTCTGGAAGGGCTTTCTCAATTGTAAAGTCCTTCCTAGTAGGTAGTTCCCTGAAAGTCATTGTTAACAGCCAGTCATTAGATGCCCATAAGATCAATGCTGGCATTCTTCAGGGTTCTCTCCTTGGTCCTACCCTCTTTGTTCTATATTAATGATCTGCCTAAGAAAATACTCTGATTTTTAATGAATATCTATGTGAATGATACATTTTATAGGTGCCCCTCTGAAAATCTGGATGATCAGAAGCTAGCAGCTCATGTCACCTATGACCTAGCCCAGGTGGCTCAATGGGGGAAAGGACTGGCTTGTAAAATTCTATATATCCAAAACCAAACTAGAAATGTTCCACCATCACAGAGTAGACCTTGAACTTTCACCGTTCATAATGAATGGGTCTTCACTTAAGGAGAATACTTGCCTTGAATGTATATTGAATGCAAGCTCTCTCTCTCTCTCCAGACCTCAAGTGGAATGCATACAATCTATTATTAAAGATACTGGGAAAATAGTCAGTTCATTGTACCACTCTTAGTAAATATCTAACTCCCCTTGATATACTCTATCTTTACAATAGCCAGATAAGGCCAAAAATGGATTATTACTGCCATATCTGGGATGAAGCTGCCCAGTCCTCACTTGCCTGTCTTGATAAAGTTCAAAAGGGTCTACACAGCTTTGTGGTTGATTAATTATTTTTCACCCTACAACTCCTTTCTCACAGCTAACCTCTTGCTACTATATCACTATTTCTGTGTGTTCTACCATGCTATGTTCCTTGGTTCCACCAGTCCTGACCTTTGCAGCTGGGACCCATCATGCCACATACACAAGGATGAATCATCCCCATTCCCTTTGTGTTCCATTAGTAAGAAGTAAGAAGCTGAGATAGCTTCTCCCCAAGTATTAATGCTTTGTGGGACAGACTCCCAATAGGATGTTGTCCCAATCACTAAAATTTTCATCTCTTCAAGTCTCAGGTTAACCATTATCTTTCCTGCATAGCCCCAAGAACTTCACTTTTTTTTTTTTCTTACACTCCATACAACACCATACAGTAATCCTTTATTTTGAATAACTCTTGGGCTTTGTATTGGGTGTGCATTAGTATGAAGAAAAAAATTTAATCTTTTCTTATATAGATAATCCAAGTTCAGCATGTGTGTCAAGTTGGGTTAGGACTCACTTGTATGGAGCAAGTACAGCTCCAAGGATGCTTGACAACAGTCAACATTTAAATGTAAAAAGGCCAGCTTTTTTATGGAACAGGCTTGAGAAGAATGTGAGAGAAGGTTTGGCTACATTTAATGGGTATTCAAATCAAATATGAAAACAGAATTGATTAACAAAGTTAATTAGTTTTGAGAAACTGAAGTTTCTGAAAACTGGATTACCTGAACTTCATTAAATAAGGTATTGCTAATACATCTGTTACTAATTGACCAAAAATAGTTTTAAAGATCATAAACTTATTTGATGAAATCCAACTATTTTCATTAGAGTTTGACAGGAGATATAATAAACTTATTCTTTCAAATCACACTTTTTTTTTTTTTTTTTTCCAACTCCCATTTGAGTGCCCCTGAGGTGATTACTGTATAAAATAAATTCCTGGGAATGCTGAAAAAAACTCTCCTATTCTCATTCCATTACAATTCATATCAAACATCCAAGGTAATTTCAGGGACTGACATCATCAGTTCTTTCTTATGATGCCAATCTATGATTATTTCTGTGCTAGCTGAACCAAGGAACCTCTAAAGAATCAGATTAGATTCACTAAAACTTGTATCCATTTGGCTATATTTTATCATGGCAGATTAGTGTAACTGATAGTTAAAACAGCATTATTTTTATTATGTGAAGCATTGTAAACTATTATTATTAAATTTGACTATGTTTACTTTCATCTTAAATGCTTTAGTTCTTTTTCACTGTGGACCAAGATCGTGATAGGATATCAAAATTAGTGCACCGTGCTATAGCCACACATGGCTTAGACTATACACATCACTCACTGATCCACCAACAGAGTAAATTCAACTTTTCCCTCATTCTTTACAGAGACTCTTAACATTCCTTGAAATTTTCTCTACACAAAAAATTGTTTCCAATAGAAAAAATACATCTGTCTAGTTTTGTTTCAATCTTGTCTTTCTATTTTCTCAACCAACTCAACACTTTTAGTTATTGTTCAATATATGACTCCTAATCTAATAATATAATTACTGATCCCTTTGTATTTAGCATCTTAGTAACATATCTTTTTGCCAAAATTTTCACAATTGGAATTAAAAATTTAACTATATCTTTTTAGTTCAATGTAGATTAACTTGATTTTTAAATGCCCAAACAATTCAGTAATTTATTCCATTAAAAAAAAAAAAAGTCACAATAATCTTGTGTAAAAATGTTTAACAATTAATCACTTCTTTTTTTTTTTAAAAAACAAACTCACATATATAAAATTATATATGAATATTAGTGGGTAATTTAATCAGTCTGTAATTTTGAGATGGGTCATTATTATTCCAAGAGTTATTTAGGATTATTAATCTCATTTTTGTTATTAACATGACTTTTGTATCTTCTTCATTTGATTGCACACCTGAGGAAAATTCTATGCTAAGAATAAAAATTGCAAAATCAATAGTCCAAACATTTGGCAAGAAATTTAGCTGAGTAATCAGGAAAACTTATTAAATATTCTTAATCATTAACAATGCTCCAATCAGGTCACATATCCAAATAAAGATTTTACTTTAAATAAATAACATTTTAAGTTTTTTATTGTTTTGTTTTTTTAGATAGCTAGAAATGTTTTATTTCTTTTAATATTGTTTACAGACTGACAACAAGACATGCAATATATAATAGAATCTATAAATCATGTTTACTCATAAAAGGAAATTGAAAGCCAAAAAAAGAATGGCAATCTTTTAGCTCTGTGATTGACAGGGTTTTACTTCATCAAATCTGGTTAGCACGGAGAAATGACAGGCAGCAAGAAGAAGAGTGAAGAAATCTCTATATTCTTCTTCTGCATGGAAACCTGACTACACTTTTTGCCTGGTTGCTTTTTGGACAGAACAATATTATACGACCAGAGAATTTTTCACATGTCAAACTGAAAGATTTATCTAATAAAAAAATAAACAATAGAAGAACATAGAAAAGAAAGAAAACCGAATAAGTGGAAGGTGAATGAAAAAAGAAGAAAAAGGAAGACAAATGAATAAGACAATGAAGAAGCAAAATAAAATCAGGAGGAGGATAGAAGATGAAAGAAATAGAAGTGCTAAGACCAAGAAAGGTAGAAAATGATAGAGAAACAAAAGGTAAAAAAAAAAATTAATTCAAAAAGTGAAAATTTTCAATGAAAAAGAAATTATAAAAAAAGAAGACATTTGATGAGAAATCCAAAAAGGAAAAAAAAAAAAAAGAATTTCAAAGAAAAAGAGTTTAAAACAGAAAATGGGAAAGACAAAAGACAACAGACTGTTAAAATCTATGTTAAAAAAAACAATAATGTAGAAAGAAATCTATGGAGGTATAATTGTATTTTGCTGCAATGGAATGTGAAGACAGCTGATAAATGATGACTTATCAAAAAGATTTTCCACAGAAAGGCCTCAAATTGTTAAGATTTTGAAATTAAAGAGACCAATTCCTATTTTTATTCAGTCAAAGAAATTGTTTTCACACACCATGATGATCACATAAAAACAAGAAAATTTGTACTACTCTTTTCCTGATTTGGTTCCAATACTAAAATTTTTCTTTTACTTCCTTGTTCACTCCTATATTGGCACTGATTGTCAATATTGACACTAGTGTCTGCTGATAATCTATAGCTGCCACATTTTGCAGAAAGGCAAAGCCTAATCAAAACATCTTCAGCTGGCACAATGCACCAAGTGAGAATGAATGAAGTTTAGAGGCGCCTGTCAGATTAAACCGCAATCTTCAAGCACAAGGAAATCAAATCAGGCAAGCATTCAACTTTGTTTCAATGTATCAAAACAGATTTGAGCAAATATTACAGAATTTTGTTTTGGAAATGCTGGGGATTATAATTTGGATTAAAAAAAAAAAAAAAAAAAAAAAGAAAGAGGTGAAGCTATGTCAAGAATTTATCCATCTTCTTCTACATACTGCATCCTTTCAGGACCAAGATGATCATGGCTCAACCAGATTCTTAAATATTTGCATTCTCAATAAAAAATCCTAAGAGTCATCCCATAACATAGCTGTATTTGTCAGAGTTGGGTTTATTTGAGTTTATTTTCTTTTACAGCATATCAACCTCAATGTTTTATTTAATGCTGACAAAGTTTTTAGGATAAGTTTGTATGAACAGAATATGTAATCTTTGTAAGAAAGCAGCTTGTAGATCAGGTTTCATTGATGAAGTTTTCTAAAGAGGGTTTTTGTTGAGAATCAAATCTATTGTAATATTTATTTTCAAAAATGTATTGCTGGTATTTTTACTATAAAAATATATTTTTATATATTCATAGTGTTTTGAACTCTGTATTTGTCAGAGATTATTACATCTTTACACACATTGAAATATTAATATTCCCAGCCAAGTTGTTATTTTTAACACAACCTGAAAGATGAAAGTCA